CGCTGAATACAAAGGGCTGAAATAAATGAGTAATCGTTAACATAAAATAATAGGACATTTTAATAAAAATATTTTTACTGAACAGTAACTTACCAGACACTGAATAACTGCACAAATTAATAAGCGTAACGCAAATAAACCTATTTTTCTTGTTTTCTAAAAGCAAAATATTTCCTGTTGTGCACACCAAACAAGTCAGTCCAAGTATAATGACTTGGCAATCAGCTGCTAAAATATTCACTGCTAGTATTAGTAGAGAGAAATGGTGCGTCTGCATGTAAGGCATGTAAGGGAAATGAATGCAACACAATTATAGTAATCAGTCATTAGTGAATGTTGTAGTTCGTTATTAATAACTAGAGGCCTGGTGCATGAAAATCATACATTCGGGGGGTCCCTCAGCCTGGTCTGCACCCTCTCGCAGTCTGGGAGCCCTCGGGGGATGTCAGACTGATGGCTTAGGCCGAGGAGCGGGCCTAAGCCAGCAGTCAGGCATCCTTAGTGCTGCCGCAGAGGCGGGAGAGGCTCCCGCCACCGTCACTGCACTCGCCAGCCATGAGCCCAGCTTCTGGCTGAGCGGAGCTCTACCTGTGGGAGCCCACTAACCACCAGGGGGCAGCTCCTGCATTGAGTGTCTGCCCCCTGGTGGTCAGTGCACGTCATAGCAACCTGTCGTTCAGCTGTTCGGTCAATTTGCATATTAGCCTTTTATTATATAGGATTATGTGTAACAGGATATTATAAAAATTTAGTTACGAAAATTGTTTATTAAAATGTTTCTCACATACCCGTTAATTGGCTGGGCCACAAAAATATCCATTGTGGGCTGCATACAGCCTGTGGGCCGCGAGTTTGACATGCTTGTTTTAGGGGCTGGGATAACAGTGGTGAACAGCAAAAACAATTTCCTGACCCCATGCAGACATTGTTTAAATGACTGATTAAATAAGACAACTATTGAAAAAGGGAAAATAAAAAGGAAGCCCTTTAGTTAGAGGTCATATAAACTCGTAGAGAGGTGTTTGTAATTCGTGTTGCCTGATCTTTAATGATAGTTATGATGTTGGGACTTTTTTTTAGAGTACTCAGTGATTGGCTGTTCTGAATAGCAGAGTGAGTATTAGACTCTTTCTGGCCTTCCATGACACCCAACTTGGAGAGTGCTATGCTGCCTCATGGTTGGGCACACACCTTTGATTTCCACATCTCCATTCCACTAGGTAGGGGATCCACCACCGTGGTCTGCAAGCTGAGTGTAGGGTGATTCATCATGACTCTGCAGCTGTGAAAGGCAGTTTAATTTCTGAGTTATTGCCTACCTATTGAACTTTTGGAAGCAGAACAGAGTCACCCGTTAGGTTTGTGTCTTGCATTAGTATTGAGGATGGTGACAAGGCTTGACCAGCACCCCAGGTTATAAAAGAACACATGTGTTTTAAAAGTAAGTTTGATTTTAATGTTTAGAATTTAAAAACCCATAATCTGTGTCATGGATGTGCCTCTTTTGTATTTAAAGTACTTTAAAGGTGTAATGAAACTGCTCTTGTACCAGTAAGTGAACCCTAAATGTGTCTTCCTTGCAGGAGTTTTCATCTCACATGGTTTATGTTTTAATTAGACATTAGTTGTAGAGGTGTAATTCTCTATTATGGAGGCCTGAAGTCAGAATGAAGGTATCAGCCTGAATAGGATGCAAAAAATTGTCACTGGAATTTTACATTGAAAGCTATTTTGGGGCTTTAAAATGTATACACGGTGTAGATGTAGGAAATAATAGTTTATAATCACATCATTTGTGGAGATGCAAAAGATGAGAATAGGAACTTGGTTACAATGAAAAGATTTTTGCTGCACAACCTTTATTGCATAGACTGACTGTGGAAGCTGAAAAAGTGGATTTCAATCTATAAGCATTAACTCCTGCCACATTTAAGACTGTCATTCAGTTGCAAAGAATATGCTAGGAGAGCTTTCATAGAAATTCAAGGGAGTAGAGAGTTGCTATAAGAGCAAATTCAACTAGGATGTGCTTTGTATGTGTTGTGTAGCTAAAGCATCTGCCTTTTACTCAGGTTAGTTATTTGGGCTCCCCAGATAGGTCTGGTTAGAGTTCTTAATTTTTCTGTTTTTTAACCAGGTGATTGGAAGGTCTGCAGTGACTTGTACCAAGTAGCAGTTAAGAAATTGTGTGTGTTTCTCCTATTGGGTTGAGGCAAGATTTGCTGCTTCTTTAAACCTTCATGTTTGAATCTCGACCACCATCCTGGTTAGTAGATGTCTTGGCTCTCAGGAGAGCAACCAGGAAGACAGGATGTGCCTTCTTCCTCTAGCGATATCGGAAATCACAGCTTGGCATGTCTACAGGAGGGAAGAGTGTGCAGGGCAAAGTGGAAATCCTAGCTCCCTTCTTCCCAGGGCTCCTCTATTATAGAAGATGGAGAGTCACTCTGATTCTAGGAAATCCCTGAAGCTTAATAAGAGTGCAGCTTAACTTATTTAGGGCTTAGAGTTCCTATGTGGTTGTATTTCTAAGATGTAGTTTGTATTTATGCGGAGTTTAGGAATTTAAGAGCTGGAAAAGACCTCAGCTATCCCAGATCCCTTATTGAGTCCCATGGAGGTTTTATGTCACCTGTTAGTGGCAGGGAGTAAAAACCAATTTGTTGGACATCCAGTATACCAGCACCAGTCTGACTCTGAAGTGTTCGGGCTCCTGTTTGAACAGAGGGAACATGAATATCCAAAGCCCTGTTTTACCCACGGTATTAATGTTTCCCTTATTCTCTTGATGCCCAGGATATCTGAGAAGCTCAAATACTTGTATGTCTAAATAGAACTGTGTGATAAAATGCTTAAGTCTTGCCCTGTCTGGTTTGGCTCAGTGGATAGAGCGTCGGCCTGTGGGCAGAAGGGTCCCAGGTTCGATTCTGGCCGAGGGCACATGCCTGGGTTGCAGGCTCGATCCCCGGTAGGGGACGTGCAGGAGGCAGTTGATCAGTGATTCTCTCTCATCATTGATGTTTCTTTCTCTCTCTCTCTCTCTCTCTCTCTCTCTCTCTCTCTCTCTCTCTCTCTCCCTCTCAATGCTTAAGTCTTGAAGCAGGTGTGTGAATATGAGGGCTTCTTAGATAAGCAAATTGTGCATAGATATCCACAGAACCTAAGATTGTGCATAGATATCCACAGAACCTAAGAATGTCCTTAGCCATATGAGTCTACCCCTTAAGCCTTAAACACCTTGTTCTTGGTTTCCTACAACAGTTGTCTCAAGTTAGTTACGGTGTCAGCCATCTCCATCCTCATGTTCTGTCTTGGTTTCCTGCCGTTGTGTCCCTCGCTGCTCCCTCCTCCCTTACTGCCTCTTCAATTCTAATCCTTCTTTTTTTTTTTTTTTTTTTAATATATTTTATTGATTTTTCACAGAGAGGAAGGGAAAGGGATAGAGAGTTAGAAACATCGATGAGAAACATCGATCAGCTGCCTCTTGCACACCTCCTACTGGGGATGTGCCCGCAACCAAGGTACATGCCCTTGGCCGGAATCGAACCTGGGACCTTTCAGTCCGCAGGCCGACGCTCTATCCACTGAGCCAAACTGGTCAGGGCTCTAATCGTTCTTTATATCTTTACTACTAGAATGGTCTATAGGCTGGCTGCTAGTTCTTTGATTCCTCCGCCCCCACCTTCTTCCAACCTGGCCTTTATTTTGTCATTCCTCTGTCAAGAACTTGCATTGGATCTGATACAGCAGACATAGGGAGCCACACTTTTAAATTAGACCAAGGGTCCTCAAACTACGGCCCGAGGGCCACATGCAAATACAAATATTGTATTTGTTCCTGTTTTGTTTTTTTACTTCAAAATAAGATATGTGTAGTGTGCATAGGAATTTGTTCATAGTTTTTTTTTAAACTATAGTCCGGCCCTCCAACGGTCTGAGGGACAGTGAACTGGCCCCCTGTTTAAAAAGTTTGAGGACCCCTGAATTAGACCGTCAAGACCTGTTATTAACCTGTGTGTATTTTTATCTCTCGAGTTCCTCCTTTTCCCCCATTCCATTGCCCTTTTCCACACTGGCGTCCTGCCCCCCGCCCCCGCCCCCCTGGTGACTTATTAAGAGCCTATTGCTGATCCAGTTTCTGACTGAATTGTAAATTTCCTTGAAGGTAGCACCAACACCCCAATGACAACAAAAGTGGAGCACATACAGGGTATCCCCCAAAATGCATACACACTTTGAATAATTATTAATTCCAATGGTTAAACCTGATTAGAAAAAAAAATCATTGAGCTATCAAAAATATATGTTAATACTTTTTTGGGGGATACTCTATATTTGTAAGGTAGTATACATTTTGGCATTGCTTGCTTTTTAAAACTCCAGCACAATGGTTCATTATTACATACCCGGTTGTGAGTGTAATAACAACTATTTATGAACTTTGTTAGGAATAGAAAACTTCCGTATTCCCCATTAATGAAGGTCTTTGGATATGGATAGCTAAGGGGAGTGAGGTTGTTTTTTTTTTAAAAATATATATTTTATTGATTTTTTACAGAGAGGAAGGGAGAGGGATAGAGAGTTAGAAACATTGATGAGAGAGAAACATCGATCAGCTGCCTCCTGCACACCCCCAACTGAGGATGTGCCCACAACCAAGGTACATGCCCTTGACCGGAATCGAACCTGGGACCTTTCAGTCCATAGGCTGACGCTCTATCCACTGAGCCAAACCGGCTACAGCGAGTGAGGTGGTTTTATCTTTCTTTCAGTCCCTTGTACAGCCTCTGGGTTCGCTTTTTACTTGAGGTCTCTCCAGATGTCTGAAGGGCCAGTGCTATCTCTTAACCATATGCTGTAATATTGATCTCTAGAACCATGTCTTGATCACACAATACTTGTTTGAAATTTAAAAAAAAAAAGGTTTATTTTGACTTAGTATTTACCTGCTTTCTTTCAAGTAACTCTCCTTTCTTTCATCTCTCGGTTTCTCCAGGATGACAGTGATGGGATTCCATGGTCAGAAGAAAGGGTGGTACGTAAAGTCCTTTACTTATCTCTGAAGGAGTTCAAGAATGCTCAGAAGAGACAGCATGGTGAAGGCATTGCTGGGAGCCTGAAAACAGTAAATGGTGAGTTGAATATTTGTTGAATCTCTGGGCACATCCTTGTTTCTGAATTGGATGTGTTTTGCAACTTGTGCTTTTTAAGCTAAGTCTTTTACCTGCAGTTATTCTGGACAATTTTTTTGGGTTTATAGATTCATTTTCATGTTCCTTTATGTGCTGCACCACTGTCAAGTAATTAGTCTATTCTCTATACACAGGACCGGGGCTGCAAATCTGATTTCTTTCTGGGTTCAATGTGGAGCCTGTTTTATAGGTATTCCTGTGGATATCTGCTTCATACCCAAGTATGACAGCAGAAGTCTTTGATGATCTTACTGTGGAGTGATGTCTTTGATTCTTATCCCCTGTTTGTAAAGGAAGTAGCCTAAATCCATGGTGTGCCTACTGCCTTTCCTGCTCTCAGGCTCAGCAGCCTCCTAAGCACCTGCTTCTTTGTATGTTGATCAGGTCGGGCAGGTTGCTACCCAGCAGCAAGTATACAGTGGCATAGAATTTCTGTGTATCTGGAATTTTACCTCTTTCTGTATGGTTATCAGTAGGATCCTTGAAGCCTGCAAGGAGACTTGCTGCTATCTGCCTTTATTCTTATCTCTCTTTTTAATGAGATTTAGTATGATTCAGATGAAGTCATCTAACAAAAACCATTTCAGAACTAACATTTGGTTTTTCAGGGGATGTGGCTGTGGTGGCATTCCAAAGTTTCTCTTGTATTTTCTAATTTCTTAGAATTATGGATAGTGTGAGTCCATGTTCTGGTTTGTACTTGCATGGAGATGAAGAAAAAGAGATACTGTTCTTTCTTAGAATCTTTGCTCTGGTCTTGGGGTAACAGTTATCCCATGTGGGTTCTCAGCAGCTTTCCAGGATGCAGAGTGACGGGTTCACTTAGGGCTTCCAGTTTCTTTCCAGCCTGCTTAGTGGAAAGGTGAGTTGTCTGGAAGCCTCTTGTTGGAATTGGTGCTTGCAGATGGGACCTGTTGCTGCTCTGTTTCCACAGGGCTGTGGCGGGATTTAGTGAGATGACCTCCTGCTATCCACCCAAGTTCTTTCATTCTTTTCTAGTATTGTGTGGTTTGAAACAAGAACCCTTAAATTCTGAGCCATATGTAATGGGAAAGGCCTCTTTTAAAAAAAAATACATTTTATTGATTTTTTACAGAGAGGAAGGGAGAGCGATAGAGCGTTAGAAACATCAATGAGAGAGAAACATCGATCAGCTGCCTCCTACACACTCCCTACTGGGCATGTGCCCTCAACCAAGGTACATGCCCTTGACCGGAATTGAACCTGGGACCCTCGAGTCTGCAGGCCAACGCTGTATCCACTGAGCCAAACTGGTTAGGGCCGGGAAAGGCCCTTTTACAATTTCTTTCGCATTTGCAGAAGTAAAATAAGTAGTCGAATTTGTTGCCACAGTATACTGTTTGGACCCCCATGGATCTCCAACAGACAGAGACCCCATCTATTCCTTGGCTGCCTATAATATAGTAAACTATATTCCCTTGTCTATTTGGAGAACATTTGATGTGATAGTTCTTGTCATTGCTTCACACTGAATACCTATGGTCCCCCAACTTACGATGGTTCGAGTTGACGATTTTTCAACTTAATGATGGTGTGACAGTGATACACATAATACATCACATGAGATAGTCAACACGTTATTTTAAAATGGACTTTGTTAGAACATTTTGCCAAACTGTAAGTGTTCTGAGCACATTTAAGGTAGGCTGGGCTAATCTTTGTTAGCTTAGGTCTATTAAATGCATTGTAAACTGAAAATATCTTATTTGGATGTAACCCCAAATGAAAATAAGTTGAGGAACAGGGTTTTTCTTGATTAAGATTTTTAGAATGGTAGTGGGAGGAATTCAATTGAATCCTGGAGTTAGAGTAGAGCAGTGGCTGTTATGGATGTAGATCTTAGGGTTGTGATAAGAATGCTTAATTATGCTGTTCATGAGTGGTAATGCTTTATTGCCCTGGAAATCTCTTAATTTTTTTACACACCAGCCTAGTTGGGGAAAATCAGCTTTTAGGACAAGTAGTTAGCTAGGTGTCCAGGATTGAATGAAAGTGGAATTTGGGTAAAAGAACAAAAACTAAAGTAAGTTATCCAAGAAGCAAAGAGCACTACCAGCTAGTTGGCTATAAATGTGGCTCTCATGTTTTTTGGGCATAGTTGAGGTATTGACAATGCAAAGGAAAGAATTCTAAGAAAAGTTATCAAAAGTATCTCTATCGGGATCATTGAAGGCTTTAAATAATTCTTGTACAAGCTTTATAAAGATAAGGTAGTTTTTGTCGTGTTAGTTTGCCTTTCACCCTAATAAAGACTGACGTGTCTTTTTTTTTTTTTTTAACACACTCAGTTTGGTTGTGAAATTGCTGTGAATATGCCTTTTTCTAGTTCCTGTTGGTGTTTGTGCAGGTAACATTCCAAGGCCACCTTTTTGTTATTCTGTATATTGCATTTCAATAGCAGTTCTAAGTAAACACATCTATCTCCTTGTTTCAGAACTTAAGTGTGTTTTAAGAAGAATTTTCTTAAATGCAGTTAACATGTTAAAGTGTGCTTTCCTGTTTGGGGGTTACTGGAAAGCACAGGGAAACAGAATTGTTACCATGGGAATAACTCTTATAGATCCCAGAATCTCAGGAGTGCTCTCTAGGAGGGTGTGATCAGAGAAAGCTGAAATAGCAGGGAACATTCATTTTTTGGCTGAATGGGGTTGGGAGTAAGGATGATTGCAAGCAGTGTTCTCTTTGAATGTGTGTACATGTGCATCACTTGAGTTTGAATGGATGCTTCATAATAGATTATAATTCATATACTGTACAATAGAGTGACTCTGTCTTAAGCTGTCCATCACAGAATACAATCTCTGGATTCTTCATTGTGGACAAGTGAAGGCAAGGTAGTAGAGGGAGAGTGGTTTTAACAGTAATACAAGGTACTTGTTTTTACTGTTATTTTTAAAAGTTGAAATAATTCCATTGGTCCTATTTTAATTGTGACAGAAATTTGTCTGGTGGTAAATTTTGGAAACTGTCCAGTACAGAGCCCTTACTGGGAGGTGGGGTCTGAAACTAGATGGCATACGGGCTAGAGCATGTACCTGTTCCCCAGATGGGGAGGGCTTCTGCCCCTGTCTCCCCCTTTGTCACTTGGGGACCTTGGGTAGTGACATACCTCTGAGTTTGTTCACCTTGGTGTTTTTCACCTGCAGGCTGAATAAACATCCCTGTTGTGTGCGGTAGTGGCTTTCCTGACTCTGTTATTTATTATACAGTAGCAGCATTGGAATTGCATTTCAAAGTTGTGTAACTTTGCATCCAGTACTTATTTTAGAACACATACCAGATAAAAATTACACCATATCTTTGCAAGAGTAGTATTGAAAACAAGGTGTTTTATTTTTTTCTTTCCTCCTACTAAATTTTAAACAAAGATATTTCTGGGTGATTGATCCAAACAGAGTTTCCTGGGAAAATACAATTTAAAATAATATTTTGCATTAACAATAGAATGGGCCTAGCATAATTTTGTATCTTATTTGAATTGACATCACTTCTGCTAAGTCATTGCTATGCTAGGATGCTGAACAAGCAGCCCCTTGCACTGCTTCCCTCTTGGGTGAGGCTGGCTGGGGGTCTGGTATCTGTTGACAGTGTTCAAACAGTGGCAGCTTGGATCTGAGCGGCTGAGCTCAGCTGCCCCATTTCTGCAGGTCTAGTGTAGTAGTAATAACACAAGCAGACAAAAGATAGTAAAATCCATGTTTGCCATCAATCTTGCTTCTGTGGTTTTAAAGTGACAGGGAATGACATTTTTTGTCCTTCTAGAGGTAGTGAATGTGAGTCTTGAACGTGGATTGTCTGTGTCGGAACTGAACCATCATTACAGCTTGTTGGTTACAGCCAGGCTTAGAAGGCAGTGCTTAGATTTCTGCTGATTGTGAGCCTTCTGTTTACTTCTGCTGTAGATAATGCTACTTTTTCTGGCTGTAATAATTTAACAAAATCTTAGAAAAGGGCTGGCAAAGGCTGAGGCCACTCTTTGAGGACTTTTAGCCCACTGGGACTGAAATTAGGGACATTTAACTAACATGTTGTACAAATAATGAGTACATATAATTACACAGTAAGAGAGTGGAGCTATCAGCTGTATTTGAATTTTTGAATTTCATAATGCAGCAAGCCCTCTGTCCAGCTAAAGAGTCTTGACTGGATGTAAGGGACACTGGACCCTTTTCTTAGAGTCGTCCTGTGGGCCCTGGTTGTGATAACTAACCTCTGTTGAGTGCTTATTATTTGGCAGTTACTGTTCTAGCTGTTTATCCATATTTTAATCACTTAATCTTCACAACAAACCATTTTGTAGATGAGAAAACGATACACCAGAGTGATTAGCGAGTTGCCTACACAACTAAGGTGGGACAGAGCCAGGATTTAAACCCCAACTTTTTGTACTAGAGCTCTCCTGCTTTCAGCCACCGCCTAAACAACTTTGGAACCCTCCATAAAGATAGGGAGGGTCCCAAAAAATAAATATTTGTAGGAGGATATATTTTTAATAGCAGCTTCTTTTGAAGCAGAGAAGTGAAATCTGTGATTGGGAGCATGTTTCTGGGCTTTATTAGACCTTGTACTTTAATAGAGGGAATAAAAATTTGTATTTCTTCTTCTGATTACCCTTCTTAGTTCAGTCATAGGCACACACATGCATTCATTTCTTTCTATTTCTTCACCTAGAGGCAGAGAGTTTTACTTTTGTCGAGCCTTTCCAGCACCAATTGCCAAATTGTAGCCAAGGACCAAAGTTGGACGTGTAGATATAGGGCAGTGGTCTCAACCTGTGGGTCGCGACCCCTTTGGCGGTCGAACGACCCTTTCACAGGAGTCGCCTAAGACCATCCTGCATATCACATATTTACATTATGATTCATAACAGTAGCAACATTACAGTTATGAAGTAGCAATGAAAATAATTTTATGGTTGG